TATATATATATATATATATATATATATATATATATATATATATAGATGTGTGTGTGTGTGTGTATAGATCAGCTGACTTATAGCCATTTATGTGTCTGCTAAGGCAGTGCTTCCCAAACATTTTAGCATTTGGCTAAGACTAGTGACCCCCAGTACTGCTGGATGAAATATGTCAAATTTGCCCTAAAGTTTATAATCCATCCATCCATCCATCATCATCCTCTTGTTCTGGACTCAGGTCTCGGGGGCAGCATCTTGAGCGGGGAGGTCCAGACATCTCTCTCCACAGCCTCTTCCAGCTCTTCTTGAGGGGCAGCTGTGGCTGAGTGGTTAGAGCTGTCGTCCTCCAATGCGAGAGTTGGGGGTTCGAATCCACCAGCAGTCACATGTCGAAGTGTCCCTGGGCAAGACACTAAACACCTCATAACCTCTGATGTGTGTTCCATCAGTGTATGAATGTGATTTAAATCACTGATTAGTCTCTTTAGAATGATTTGTTCAATTAGCTTTGTAGAGATCTAGTAGAGTGCTGTATGAATGGGTAAATGAGGACACAGATTGTAGAGTAAAGCACTTTGAGTATCTTGAAATAAGATAGAAAGGCGCTATATAAGTACAGCCCATTTACCATCTTCTGGGAGGACTCCAAGGTGTTCTCAGGACAATTGAGAGACATAGTCTCTCCAGCGTGTCCTGGGTCTTCCCCGGGGTCTCCTCCCAGTCGGACATGACTGAAGCACCTCCCTAGGGAGGTGCCCAGGGCCCAAACCTCCTCAACTGTCTCCTCTGGATGTGGAGGAGCAGAGGTTCTACTCTGAGTCTCTCCTGATAACTGAACTTCTCGCCCTGTCTCTAAGGGAGAGTCCAGCTACCATGCAGAGGTAGGATCTCATTCTTTCAGTCTTTCAGTCTAGGTTCATAATAAAAATTATCATTGCCATTACATGTCTCAAGACCTCCACTGAGTTTACCATAACCAGAGTCCAAACCCCAATTTGATAACCACTGTGTTAAGGAATTTAGCTCTGGTGGCTATGGTGAACTGGGCTGACCCCAAAAGTTAACAAGATGTAGATATACACCATCTGGCCCCAAATCCCTGAAGCTGCATTTGCAATAGAGGTCTTGAATTAAGACAATTTGAATATCTTAGCCATGACCATCCTCACTATATGTCAAAGTACTCCAGGAGGTGTGAGCAGAAGATCTCATGGAAAGGTGCTTCTGCCAGACATTCCCAATCCATCATTACTAAACGTTTGGGTTTACTGAGTTTGTCTGGCGGCCTTTCCCACCACCAGGTGGTGATCAGTTGACAGCTCTGCCTCTTTCTTCACTCAGATGTCCAAGACATAGATCTGTAGATCATCAACCTTAGGCCTTAGGTGGTGTCTCTCGGCTCTCTCACTACAGTGGTCTGGTACAAAATGTACTTAAGGGTATCCCTATGCTAAAACATAGAGGTTGTTTTGGACCACCCATGCCTAACACAAGTCTAATAACAAATCACTGCTCAGGTTCAGATCAGAGACAACATTCCTCTCAATAAATCTCCTCCAGGTCACTCTTGTCTTTGTCCTAGGTCATAAAAGTTCCCCATGAGACCAACAAAATCCTCAGGTGGTACCCTTTCCAGGATGCTCTCTAGAGACTGCAGAGACCAGGTAATCTGAACTGCTGTTTGGTGCAACAGCAGAGTCCTAATATTCTCTTCTGCAGCTCAAAATTGCAAATAGGAGACCCCTATGATAAAATGGGAAGATCTACAACACCAAAATGGTTAGCTGGGAAGTTGTAAGCATTTTCACACACGTCTGGTTCTCCTCTCCCTGTGCAATTTCAGAGTACAAGGTGTCTAATCTATATTTTTAAGAAATCTTCACATTGTCAAAGACAAAAATAAAGAGAAGTGCAACAATTTTATTCCCTTCCTTATGTCCTGCTGCGTTCCCAGAAACACATCAGCACTAAGAAGTTGTTCAGTATCTGTACTCTTGATCTTAATATTGACCAGAGTCTGGTTGTGGTGGTACTCGTCCAGCTGAAAATCCAGCCTGGTGTCCCGACACTTTTTAACTTCACCATGGCTTGCAGAAATGTGCTGCTGAGCTGACTTCATCATCAGATTAACAAATCCAACTTTTATGATAATTTGTCTTTAGCGAAATAAAATAAGCGGCTCCAAGAATACAATTTATCTATTATCAGTTGTCTGAAAATGATTTAAAACAATCATCCAGGTCCAGTTCATCTTTTACCGCATTTTATTTTCTGTCAGTTCCACTTTGGGACTTGATCTTCCTCTTTGGAATAAAATCTTGATCTCTGTAAAAGATCGCCTTGAAAAAGGTGATGTTAACAAGCTAGCCACATTGTTCATGTCCATCATAGCTTCTTTGGCCACAAACAACTAACGATCACAGCAGGACAGGAGCCATATCTCCCTGAAGACAGCTCCACATGTGTTGGTCCGACCCACTGTACATCAACATTATGATTGACTAAACAAACTCCTCCAGATCTTTGGATTGAGCTGTACCTTCTCTCCTAATGAAGTCCTAACCAATGAACATTTTCCTTCGAACATGTTTCTGCCTGGATACACAGCTGCTGATTTCTTGGGCCTTCTCTGAAGGTGTAGAAGGCCCTGAGGGTTCCCCTCGGTCTCAAAGAGGACTAACTTAATCACAATAAGGTGGTGATTCTGCGGGAAGGGTTTTGACTTGGTCTTTAAAAATGAACATTTTATAAACTTTTCAAACTTGGATTTTATTTTTGTTATACCATACCATACCATTTTATTTATAAAGTACTTTAAACAGCGACGGGGCCAACCAAAGTGATGTACAAACAGAAACAAGCAGGTAAAGCACACAGCAACATAACATGATAACATAATGACTAACACAGTGTGATGCATACAGGTTCAGCACAGATCATAGTGTTGAAAGCCAGGGAATAATAGTGGGTTTTTAAGCGGGGTTTAAAAACAGTGAGGGAGGGGGCCTGCCTGACAAGCAGAGGTAACTCGTTCCAAAGTCTTGGTCCTGCTACAGAGAAGGTCCTGTCACCTCTGCGCTTAAGACGAGTTCCTGGAACTGTGAGAAGCAACTGGTCTGCTGACCTCAGGGAATGCGGTGGGACATATGGCTGCAGCAGATCAGTGAGATAGGAGGGGGCAGAACTGTTCAGTGATTTATAGACATACAAAAGTATTTTTAACTGGATTCAAAGGTGAACTGGTAGCCAGTGCAGGGAGGCCAAAACTGGTGTAATATGCTCTCTTTTGCCTGTACTGGTTAAAAATCAGACTGCCGCATTTTGGACCAGTTGCAGTCGTGCAATGGAGGTCTGACTGATACCAAACAGGAGCGAGTTGCAGTAATCGAGCCTAGATGTTATGAATGCATGTATTACTGTCTCCAGGTTATTTTTGGACAATATGGGCTTCAGCTTAAACAGCCGCCTTAGCTGGAAAAATTAGGATTTAACAATCATGTTTACGTGACTGTTAAGTTTTAAGAAAGAGTCCATTATCACTCCCAGATTAGTGACTCTTTGTTTCTCTAACGGGGCTAAAGCAGAGAGGTCGATGCAGTGGTTGATGATTGTGCCATTGGGAGGAAACAACATGACTTCAGATTTCTTCTCACTGAAACTTAAGAAATGTAAAGCCATCCAGTCTCTGATATCAGCCAGGCAGTCAAGCAGAGGGTGAATAGAGCGTGCACCATTGTGTCTTAGGGGGGAAGTAAATTTGACAGTAACCGGCATAGAAGTGAACGGGTATGTTGTGTTTCCGGAAAATAGCACCTAGTGGCAGCAGGTATAAAGAAAATAGAAGGGGACCGAGGATGGACCCCTGCGGTACGCCACATTTAAGCGCTGCCGATGCTGAACTAAAATCTTTGATGTTGACACAAAAGGTTCTGTCAGAGAGGTAGGATCTGAACCAATTGAGGGCTGACCCCGTGATGCCCACCCACTGTTCTAACCTAGAGATGAGGATCTCATGGTCGATGGTGTCAAAAGCAGATGTGAGGTCCAATAGGACAAGCAACACAGATTCACCTGCGTCTGTGGATAGGAAGATGTCATTAAAAACCTTCAGTAGAGCAGTTTCAGTGCTGTGGAGTTATAGGTTAGATTATTACAAAAGTCCAAAATGCCTTTTGTGTTTATAAAATTAAACTTGTTGGATGGTTCAGACAAAAACGACATTGATATCTTCAAACATCAGTTTGGATGTAGACGATAATCTGGACATCTGTTAGGACCGTGAATGTTCTTCCTGTTTGTGGAAACAACCGTGACGACTCATTCGTCTCCCGCTGATTTGATGCTGATTGTTGTTTTTTTACTCTCAGCAGCTATAAATTGGTCTGACTTCAGTCTGGTCATCAGTTTGAGTCGTGCTGCAGCTGAGGTAAGATTAAAACAGTCTGTCCACGACAAACATCACAGCAACTGATGGTCAAACAGAGAGGAAGCTGCTCGTCGACTTATCTGAACCTTGAAAAAAAACTCAGCTCTGTTGTTCTTCAACTGTTCTTGCTCCAGACTAACATGTGAAATAATTACTGATGTTAAACTGACAGAGGATGACGATAAACTCCTCTAAGGTTTTATTTTTCACTCTGTCTGCCTACTTTGACTCAGGCGTTGTGAATTACTTGTATTTTGTTGTTATATTGGCTCTGTATGTTCTGATCGTTGGCTGCAACGTTCTGCTGATCGTGGTCATCTGTGTGAACAAGAGTCTTCATGAACCCATGTACATGTTTCTGTGCAGCCTGTTTGTGAATGAGCTGTACGGAAGCTCAGGCTTGTTCCCTCTGCTGCTGACTCAGATTCTGTCCGACCTTCACACGGTTTCTGCTCCGTTTTGTTTCCTGCAGATTTACTGTGTTTACACGTACGTTCATATTGAATTCTGTAACTTGGTGGTCATGTCTTACGACAGGTACCTCGCCATCTGTCACCCTCTGCAGTATCACTCACTGATGACGCCTTCAAAGATCGTGAAGCTCATCACGCTGACCTGGTTGTTCCCACTTGCTGAATCAGTTCTTGGCATCATGTCCAATGTTTACACGGAGCTCTGTGGAAACATCATTGACAAAGTTTACTGTGATAGCTTCTCTATCGTTAAACTGTCCTGCTCGTACGTCCCAACCAGCAAATACATGGGAATAGCCTATATGTTTACAGTAATCCTGGGTATGATCGTGTTGATTCTCTACACTTACATTAAAATCCTCAAAGTGAGTTTTTCTGGATCCAAACAGACCCGTCAGAAAGCTGTCAGTACCTGCACACCTCACCTGGTTTCTGTGATCAACTTCTCCTTTGGTTTCTTCTTTGATGTATTTCAGAGCAGGTTTGACATGAGCCATGTTCCCCACATTTTGAGAGTTATTTTATCGTTATATTTCCTGACGTGTCAGCCGCTCTTCACCCCTCTGGTTTATGGACTCAACCTGTCGAAGATACGAAGCTTCAGTAAACACTTTGTTCGGGGGAAATTGTGAAGTCCTCCCAAACCGAGCCTGTCTGGTGTGTCGCACATTTATGATGTTTTTCAATGAATGCATTTAAACAAAAACTTTTTCAGTTGCACCTCACGTGAAAATGAAAGACTTTCAGTTTTAGGTTTTTAACAGGACAAAACAAAAAATAATCCGGGCTTTCTTTTCCTTGTTTAAATTTTATTTGACTGTGATCATTCAAAACTATTGTCTTCAACCTTTGACTGTACATTGACTGATGACGGATTTTGAGCAAAAAGGAGAGAGCTGTGAATAAACTTAATTTATTTTACAGCTTTTTTTAAAACTTCCACAGGACGATGCACCTCTAACAGTTTTACTTCCTCACAAACTAACTGCCTTGTGGATAACGTTACAACTTTAAGGCATTCACTCGACACAGTTGAAGTCTGAAAAAGAAAGAAATTAGTCAGAAGAAGCTGGTGCTTCAGTTTATTTCAGAGCTGTGCCCCTTAAAACAGGCCTGAAGAAAATTGGGAAGAAAGAAAAAATCCATCCATCCATCCATGCATCCATCCATCCATCCATCCATCCATCCATCCATCCATTCATCCACCCACCCACCCACCCATCTATCCATCTATTCATCCACCCATCCATCCACCCATCCATCCAACAGATCCATAAACCCAGACATCACTGGACTCAACAAAATGATTTCAAGGTGTTCTGGGGGTGGATGAGATCCGTCCTGATTTCCTTAAGGCTCTGGATGTTGTTGGGTTGTTTTGGTTGACACGCCTTTCCAACATCACATGGACATCGGGGGCAGTGTCACTGGATTGTCAGACTGGCTGGTGGTTCTTCTCTTCAAGAAGGGGAACCAGAGGGTGTGCTCCAATTACAGGACATCACTCTTCTTAGTCTCCCTGGTAAAGTCTATTCAGGGGTACTGGAGAAATTAGTCTAATTGTTGGTCGAACCTCAGATTCAGGAGGAACAATGTGGTTCCATCCTGCCCATGGAACACTGGACCAGCTCTTTACCCTCACTAGGGTCCTTGAGGGGTCATGGGAGTCTGTCCATCCTGTCTACATGTGTTTTGTGGACTTGGAGAAGACATTAGACTGTGTTCCTCGGGGTACACTGTGGGGGGTGCTCCATGAGAATGGGATTGGGGGTCTGTTGTTACAGGCTGTTCATTCCCTCAACAAGCGGTACAAGAGTTTGGTTCTCATTGCTGGTAATGAGTTGGACCCTCCAGGGTGAGAGTTGGACTCCTCCAGAGCTGCATGTTGTCTCTGACTCTGTTCATAACTTTTATGGACAGAATTTCTCTGTGCAGTCAGGGGGTGGAGGGAGTCCAGTTTGGTGGTCTCAGGATTCCATCTCTACTCTTTGCAGATGATGTGGTCCTGTTGGCATCATCATGCCGTGATCTTCAGCTGAAGCAGCTGGAATGAGAATCAGCACCTCCAAATCTGAGGACATGGTCCTCAGTCGGAAAAGGGTGGATTGTTCTCTTCAGGTCGAGGGTGAGGTTCTGCCTCAAGTGGAGGAGTTCAAGTATCTTTGGGTTTTGTTCATGAGTGAGGAAAGAATGGAGCATGAGATTGACAGATTGGTGCAGCGTCTGCAGCATTGTCGACTCTGTGCCGGTCCATTGTGGTGAAGAGAGAGCTGAACTGTAAGACAAAGCTCTCTGTTTACCGGTCAGTCTACGTTCCTCCCCTCACCTCTGGTCATGAACTCTGGGTAGAGACTGAAAGAATGAGATCATGGATCCAGGAGGTCTAAACGAGTTTCCTCTGCAGGGTAGCTGGACTCTCCCTTGGAGACAGGGTGATAAGTTCAGTTATCAGGAGAGACTCAGAGTAGAACCGCTGCTCCTCCACATCCAGAGTAGCCAGTTGAGGTGGTTCAGACATCTGGTAAGGATGCTCCCTGGGCACCTCCCTAGGGAGGTGCTTCAGGCATGTCTAACTGGGAGGAGATCCTGGGGAAGACCCAGGACACGCTGGAGAGACTATGTCTCTCTGTTGGTCTGGGAACGCCTTGGAGTCCTCCCAGAAGAACTGGAAGAGGCTGTGGAGAGAGATGTCTGGACCTCCTTGATAAAGATGCTGCCCCTGAAACCTGAGTCCAGAACAAGAGGAAGATGATGGATGGATGGATGTAAACAGATTAGTTTCTTATTTTGAGTTTCAGACCTTGAAAACTGCCCCCCAGCCTTCCTGTCACCCCTCACCCACATCAGCCTTCAGCCTCTAGCAGCTTCTTCTAGAACACTGTTAGTCTGAGTGTGATGTAAAATTTACAACTCATTCTAAATGTGTACTTCAGCAAATGTTTTTAAAGTTGTAGTGTTTTTTTATTTATTTACTAAAACTTATTGTTTACGACACAGTGTTTAGCTAAATGACACATTCTGGTAAAGGATAGAAGAGGAGCTTAGCATTCCCACCTCTCAGGTTCCCACCTAGCAGCGATTCAGACATTTTAAGACACTAGATGTTTATTTCAATGCGTCCTGTCAAAGGGTTCAGGAAATCATTCTGCTAGGCTGTGACAAATATGTCACAATGTATTTTCACTAAAGTTCATTAATCATAAAAGCAAGTGTGTCAAAGCCTTTCATGTCTGTTCCTCCATCATTTGCTCCATCTCATCATTCATGAGTTTTGCTGCACCATCAGCTTTTTGTTTTGTTTATTTGTTTAAATAAATACAATTTTTATTTTTACCTTGGAGTCTCCGTGTCTGCCTGCACGTGGGTTCAACATTAAAACAACAAATCATGACACCAAGGTTCATGCTCAGTAATCCAGGTTCAAATCCAACAATGTTCAGTCAGGTCATCTGGACGGTTTCTTTTTCTTTTTTTTGCTGATACGTTTCGTCCTTCATCCAAAGGACTTCTTCGGTCCGAGGAGCTACAAACAAACGAGTTCCACAAGCACCATACTCTCATAGCGGAAAAAACAGTTTTCTAGTGATGAGATGAATTCTGGGGCCCGCCCTCTCCCCCGTCAACTCCTCTGAGGCAGCCATGCCAAAGTGGCATGATGCCAAGAAAAAGAAAACATCCAGATGACCTGACTGAACATTGTTGGATTTGAACCTGGCATGAACTTTGGTGTTTTGAAACATTTTGGCATGGCTGCCTCAGAGGAGTTGATGGGGGAGAGGGTGGGCCCCAGAAACCATCTTATCACCAGCGAACTGGTTTTTCCACTATGGGAGTGTGTTGCTTGTGGGAGTCCAGTTTGCTTGTGGCTTCTCAGACTGAAGAAGTCCTTTGGATGAAGGATGAAATGCCTCAGGAAAAAAATAAACTGTAAAGATGACCTACTGAGCTTTGTTGAGCAAATCATGGCACTTTTGAACCAACGTACGGATGTTCTTATCATCCATTGTGTTGCTTTGACAAGCAAGTTCCTGGTGACCAAGACTTGGTTTTTGGTGTTTTTAGTTTTCAAGGCATAGGATAAACCATCTCACTCTCACTTGCACAATACCAATTTGACTTATTTTAGCGCATTTCTTAGTTTATATCTTAGATCCTTATTACTGTTTCTTTTACAATTTCTATTTTTGCTATTGGTGGATGTAACTGGGACTCTGTGTACACAATTTTGTTCCACCTCATGTACCAGATGTGGTGCGAATGACTATAAAGAACCTTGAACCTTGATTTTGAAATTTTCTCCAGTGACTGGGAGGGTTGGCCCTCTGTGCTTACAGGAGGGAAGGTTCTTATTATGTATCAAACACAAGTTTGTAATACCCAAATGAACTGACAGTTCGGTCTTACTGTGTTGTGGTTGTCTTGTAGGCTTGGAGAGGAAGTAGAGGGTTCCAGGACAGATGACGGCAGCAGTGGAGAAGGCGCCGTAAGAAACTGGCAAGTTAGTGATTTTCTTATAAAAGTGCTTACTCAGGCTGTTGAGTGGTAGCAAATGTTCCAGTACTGAAATTCATTCAACCTTTATTTAGACAGGTAAATCCCATTGAGCTTCAGAATCAGAATCAGAATAAATAAACTTTATTGGCATTGCACCGAGATACAACGAGAATATGTACGTACAGTCGTCCGAAAGATAGGCGGAGTGCACGAAGCTGCGGCTATTAATTAGCACGGCCCTCTTATTCTTATTCAGAATAATATTTTGCTTAGATGAGAAAAGGAAAGAAAACATGAGGAGAGACGTTATAAAAAAAGATCTCTCACTCCGTGTCCTAGACAGGGCACAATTTGAGGCGTCAAAAAACCTACCACAGCAAAGCAACATAAACAGACGTTATACATGAACATATAGGCGGTGAAAACATTGAATTTTAAGGGGAAGTCGTAGCATAGTCCAGAGCTCCCCCTCAGCCGTTGTCCAGATAAGAGGTGTTATTTATCATCAGCTCGGTTGAGGTTCTGTCACATGTCCACGGCCTTGGGGAAGGGAGGGGTGAGGAGACAGACAAAGCATCTTTGTTTTTTCTAAACATTCCAGGAAGAGTTGAGATAAGTCCAGCTCAAGGGCACAGTTTGGGTCAGGCAGAACTCGTGAATTGTTGTTTCTGCCTTTTAAAGTCTTGCTGGTATATACTCCTCTGATGGAAACTCCAAAACAGCCGAATTGATCCTTTAAAGTTGAGCTCACAGCTTCTCCAAGATTATTTCCACCTTCATGTGCTGCTAGAAAGTCCACAGTCCTGATCACAGCTGTTCCATCCAGCTCTCTGACGCAGCTCCACATAATTCAGTCTGAGTGCTGCCGAGCTTCAAACACATCCACACAAATTTGTAGACAATCCAGACTTCACCAACCCAAACAGCAAAATCCAGTTGTCACCATGAATCCAATTTGTTTCCATCGAGGTAAGAGGGTCCTCCTGACCCTGACTCCTGTCGGGAGAAGTTGATCAATTTTGTTGAGAGACCAGCTGATCCTTCCAATTAGGAAGTATGCAGGAAACAAAAGAGGCTCTTTAAGGTTCACCACAGGATGAAAGAGTGCAAGCAGGGAAGTGTGTGTGTGTGTGTGTGTAGGGGGGGGGGGTGGCACCGGGAGACATGTCTGTCTTCACCAGAGTACAGAGAGAAAAAATATAGTTAACCTCTTTGTGTTAATGGGGCCACTGACTCAGGACCCGAAAGTCCCAGGTTCAGTTCCCAGTCATTGCACATCTCGTGTTGTCTTTGAGCAGGACACCCTATCCCCAACTGCTCCCCGGACGTTCCCAATAGCTGCCCACTGCTCCACCCGAGTGTACCCCAAGTGTGATGGGTTAAATTCAGAGAGCCAGTTTCACCAACATATGACAACACATCATTATTTATGTCAACGTAAGGCAGCAGAGAATCTAGTTAGTGGATGCACAAGTTAGTGCCTATACCTTGTTAATGAACTTGTGAGTGAGCATTTGGGTTTAGAAATTCAAAACAATAATGTGATCAACAACGACAGAAAGTCTGATTATGTCATCAGTTTTCCTGGGAGAAAAGAAAAAGGTTGAAAAGCAGCAGAGGTCCAGTAACTGTTCAGTCTGTGCACGCACTGCAGATTTCACCTGAATGTCCTGACGTACACACAGTGATACGTTTGAGGGCTTCATCTCTATTTAAGTTTCTTTTTTAATTAATTGACATAGTTTTTTTATATTGACGCCAGCTTTTGTACATATCACTGTTTGAATTAAGTTTAAAACATCCTGAAAGAAATACTTTTTGCAGCAAACAGGAATGAATTCAACACAGATTTTGTATTTTATTCTTAGTGCCCACATGGATACCAAACTGTTGAAATATGTCTGTTTTTTTGTTGTAATGTCTTTATATGTTTTCATCATCTGCTCTAACGTTCTGCTGATCGTGGTCATCTGTGTGAACAGGAGTCTGCATGAACCCATGTACATGTTCCTGTGCAGCCTGTTTGTGAATGAGCTGTACGGAAGTACAGGCTTGTTTCCGTTCCTGCTCGTCCAGATTCTCTCTAATATTCACATTATTGCTGCTCCATTTTGCTTCCTGCAGATTTATTGTATTCATACCTATGGAACGGTAGAATTTTATATCTTAGCGGTCATGTCTTACGACAGATATTTTGCCATTTGTCATCCCCTACAGTATAACACTCTAATGACAGTGAAGAAAGTAACAGTTTTCATAGCAGTGTCGTGGTTAGCTGCACTTCTTGGATTTCTTTCCACGATGTTGTTGGGTTTCTCTCTGCAGCTGTGTGGAAACATCATTAACAAAGTTTACTGCGACAACTACTCTATTGTTAAACTGGCCTGCTCTGATACTACAGTCAATAATGTTTATGGACTAGTTGGTACTGTGGTCTGCACCTTTATTCCTGTTATTCTCATCCTTTACACGTACATCAGGATTCTTAAAGTGTGTTTCTCTGGATCGGAGCAGACCCGACAGAAAGCAGTGAACACGTGCACGCCTCACCTCGCCTCTCTGCTCAACTACTTCTGTGGAGTTTGTTTTGAAATTCTGCAGAGCAGGTTTAACGTTAGCAACATTCCCATTATTGTACGAATAGTTTTATCCTTGTACTTCCTGATGTGTCAGCCACTTATTAACCCTTTGATATATGGTCTGACGTTGTCCAAAATCCGTTGCATATGGAAAAGTCTGTTTTTGATTAAAAGGAAATAATTTAATCATGTTGTATCTAATTTTTACGATCAGTGCCTAAACTAGATGTCAGAAGAGCTACAAACATCAAAAGAGTCAATGCTGCCCTTTTTGCTCACTTAATAAAATGTGTCCGGGGTCACAAACCTGCTGCAGCAGTGGTTATCAACTGATGGACCATGGGCCAGTTTGAGATTGTTAGAGAGTGGGGATGACATTATAACACAAAAAAAATGTTGTGAATTTTCAACATTTTTTTGATATTTTCACATTTTTGAACAGAACAAAAAACCATGTTCATGCAAAGAAGTAAAAAATATATAGTTTGCTGATTATGATAAAATGTATAACACCAAACTGATTGCTCCTTTTATTAGTGGAAAATTAAGGATCCCACTTTGACGTATTAAAGCATAAATTTGTGCATAAGGATTAAGTACGGTATGGTATAAAGTTTATTCATTTTAAAAGTACAAAACAATTCCATAACAATATAAAAAGATACAAGAGATTTAAAATGAAAGGCAGCAGAAGGAAGAAAAAATCTTATTATATCTGCCCCTTTTTTCAAACAATTAGTTCAATCATAATTTTCAAGTAACAGAACAAAATGAATAACTCTAATTTTTCTAATTCTAATACAAAACACACACTAAGCTACTTCTTTTTTTTTTTAACAATTCAGCTTTGATCTTTTTCTTAAATGTGCACATTGACTTGGCATTTTTAACATCACTCTCTAGACCATTCCACAATCCAACTCCTTGGATTGAGGTAGACCTTCCCTTTAGACTAGTTCTGAATTTTGGTTTGACAAATATAGTCATTTATAGTCAATACAGTCAAGTCATTTTGTTAGATATATAATTGTGACTTACTAGAATTTTGAAAGGAAAATGAATACTTGTATTTACGATTGCTTTATTGATGTTTAATTTTTCTAATTCTTACCATTTCCAAATTGACTCGTCAGATTTCTTCTACGCAACTTGTACTGAAAATAATCCAGAGAATTTCAGGTGGATTTGAGAGATCCCACTGTAAGGCTGGAAGGTGGATAAACAAAGTAGCTAAGTTTAATCACCGTGTTTCTCTCCTCATATACTTCACATACAGGTGCTGGTCATAAAATTAGAACATCATGAAAAAGTTGATTTATTTCAATAACTCCATTCAAAAAGTGAAACGTATATTATATTCATTCATTACACTCAGACTGATGTATTTCTAATGTTTATTTCTTTTAATGTTGATGATTATAACTGACAACTAATGAAAACCCCAAATTCAGTATGTCAGAAAATTAGAATATTGTGAAAAGGATCAATATTGAAGACACCTGGTACCACACTCTAATCAGCTGATTAACTCAAAACACCTGCAAAGGCCTTTAAATGGTCTCAGTCTAGTTCTGTAGCTACACAATCATGGAGAAGACTGCTGACTTGACAGAGTCCAAAAGACGACCATTGACACCTTGCACATAGAGGGCAGGACACATGAGGTCATTGCTAAAGAGGCTGGCTGTTCACAGAGCTCTGTGTCCAAGCAAATTAATAGAGAAGAGAAGGGAAGGAAAAGATGTGGTAGAAAAAGTGTACAAGCAACAGGGATAACCGCACCCTGGAGAGGATGGTGAAACAAAACCCATTTCAAAATGTGGGGGAGATTCACAAAGAGTGGACTGCTGCTGGAGTCAGAGCTTCAAGAACCACCAAGCACAGATGTATGCAAGACATGGGTTTCAGCTGTCACATTCCTTGTGTCAAGCCACTCTTGAACAAGAGTCAGCGTCAGAAGTTTCTCAAGATAAAAAGGTCTGGACTGCTGCTGAGTGGTCCAAAGTTATATTCTCTGATGAAAATCCTGATGCATGCTCAATAATCCAGGTAGAGAAATCTAAAAAAGTTAAGTCTAGTCCTCTGACATTTAAAAATCAAAACAAAGCAAAACAAATGTAGAAACGTTTCGTCTTTCATCCGAAAGACTTCCTCAGTCTGAGGTGCTGTATTTAGCTCAGTCTTATAAATAGCATCTTCTCAGAGTGGATCAACCAGTTTGCTGCGGACAGCCTTGATCATGTGAGCAGCTGGTTTTGGTTGTCAGCAGCAAATTGGTTGATCCACTATGAGAAGGTGCTAATTATAAGACTGAGCTGAATACAGCTCCTCAGACTGAGGAAGTCTTTCGAATGAAAGACGAAACGTTTCTACTTTTGTTTTTGTCCGTCCGTCCATCCATCCATCCATCCATCCATCCATCCATCCATTTTCTTCCGCTTATACGGGATCGGGTCGCAGGGGTAGTAACCTAAGTAGGGAGGCCCAGACTTCCCTCTCCCCAGCCACTTGGGCCAGCTCCTCCGGGGGAATCCCAAGACGTTCCCAGGCCAGCCGAGAAACATAGTCCCTCCAGCGTGTCCTGGGTCTTCCTCTGGGCCTCCTCCCGGTGGAACGTGCCCAGAACACCTCACCAGGGAGGCATCTAGGAGGAATCCTAACCAGAGGCCCGAGCCACCACAACTGGCTCCTCTCAACGTGGAGAAGCAGCGGCTCTACTCTGAGTCCCTCCCGGATGATCGAGCTTCTCACCCTGTCTCTAAGGGAGAGCCCAGACACCCTGCGGAGAAAACTCATTTCGGCCACTTGTATCCGAGATCTTGTTCACAACCCTCATGACCATAGATGAGTGTAGGAATGTAGATCAATCGGTAAATTGAGAGCTTCGCCTTTTGACTCAGCTCTCTCTTCACCACAACAGACCTGTACAGCGCCTGCTTCACTGCAGATGCTGCACCTATCCGCCTATCTATCTCACGCTCCATTTTTCCCTCATTCATGAACAAGACCCCAAGATACTTGAACTCCTCCATCGGCTGGTGTTGGTCCACTGTGTTTTCTGAGGTCCAAGGTCAACGCAGCATCTACCAGGAAGTTTTAGAGACTTCCTGTTTCCTGCTGCTGACCGACTTTATGGAGATGCAGATTTCATTTTCCAACAGAGCTTGGCACCTGCACACAGTGCCAAAGCTACCAGTACCTGGTTTAAAGACCACGGTATCCCTGTTCTTAATTGACCAGAAAACTCGTTTGACCTTAACCCCATAGAAACTCCATGAGTTATTGTGAAGAGGAAGATGTGATACACCAGAGCCAACAATTCAGAAGAGCCGAAGGCCACTATCAGAACAACCTGGGCTCTCATAACACCTGAACAGAGACACAGACTGATCGACTAAATGCCACGCCGCATTGCTGCAGTAATCCAGGCAAAAGGAGCAACAACTAAGTATTGATGCTGTACATGCTCATACTTTATGTTCATACTTTTCAGTTGGCCAACATTTATAAAAATACTTTTTTTTTTTTT